CCGCCCCCCCGCCACTGTCTTGCTCAGGCGAATATAATCAAGAGATGTAAATACGTCACAGAGGTAGCCCGCGACATTCCTCTCCATGTTAGAAAATCTGACGAAAAACCTGGTGGCCTAAAAATAGATGAGAAACTGCAAACGCGTGCAATGGTCAATATCACGCGGCTGGATATTGAGAAGGTACCGCAAATCTCCTCTGCCAAAAAGGACAAGAATCTGCGCTTTGCCCCACAAGTCGCCAGCACTCTGGACGCAAGCTTCGCCGACATAACCACGGATGAACCAACCACAGGCGGGATTCTAAACCGCANAATGCCCAATCAATGTGCTCACCATTCGACCAACAGCTGAAATGAGGGGGATAACTGGTGATCCACCACCTCAGGTTATACCCCGGCGCAACCTAAATCTCATTTCTCTAAAACTAAAAGCCTAAGAAACAATCTTTCTGCGCCAAAACCCGAATTGTTCCCAAGTGTCACCAGGTCGCTCCCAGAGCGAAAGCCAAGACAGGACTGTAGGAAAATTAAGACGCGCCAATCTCCTTTTCTGTCCCCAATAGACCGCTCTCGCCCACCAGACAGAGTAAAACCCCAGAAAACTGGCAAGTTAATCTCGCCAGCACGCAACATGGATGCCAAACACATGGCATCACCCTCCAAAGAGCTCCCACGGGTACCACGACCCCCTCCGAGCAAAAAGGTCAAAATACCACTCCAAAACTCTCCCAAGTCCCCTGCCATTCTACTAGACCTGCTGAAATACATAGTGAGCATGTTCTCAAGTGCGTAGCAACCAACTGCCTCAGTATAACTACTAAAATCCTTGAATTGCGACAATTGGCATGCGCTATGAAGCCACACGTAATAGAGCTAACTGAGACGTGCCTAATTCCAGAGATACTGGATGGTGAAATAATGATAAATGGTTTCACCTTGTTCATACAAGACTCAAACCGTGGCCATGCGGGCGGGGTGGCTCTCTTCCTTAATGATCCCTCCCACCTGCTTGTGTGCTTCCCTTCCTACTATTCAATTGATCGAGAACCTATGGGTCAATATCGTCTTCTCAAGCAAGGATTCACTCCTTCTGGGAGTTGTTTATCACTCCCCATTAAACATACAGGAGGAATGTCAATCACTGTTAACTCAGCTTCGCGACCTAGGTTCCACCTAAACTTTCTCACACCTTATCCTGGGCGATTTCAGCGCCCCAAATATCGACTGGTCAAGATGCCACTCCAGAGATAGAGTATTTGGTGCACTCCTTGTAAACCTCTTCAACGAACTCTCGTGATACCAACACGTAGTATCTCCCACGAGCTACCATGTCAGCCAACGTCCCTCTTTGCTTGATCTTGCGATTACTAACGAACGACACCAGATTGACATGATCTCTTATCTAAGTTCTGTTGGTAAAAGTGATCACTTCCTACTATCCTTTGACTATATTATCCGCTGGCCAACTTGCTGAACTTCTTCCAGAATGCTACGTTCCTTCAAAATGGCCGATTACGGTCTCCTATGAGAATTCCTGACCAACAGGCTAAGCTCCTGCAATAGTAATACTGACTCGAACAACTTAAAGGAGTTGCTGGAGAGTCTGATTTACGAGGCGGGCCACCTGTTTATTCTTAGAGTTCATTCCGTATCTGTACATAGGCTTCCCCTACCCCGCACCATTCGGCACCTAATGGACGAATGGGCACGTTCATTTACTTGACTAAAATGTACTGGGCTCGACGCCCATGCTGTCGAGTTCAAGCGAATCCGCAACTTATTTAGGCAGAGAATTAGAGAACTCCACAATAGACAACAAAAAGCAATTCTTCTCCGTGCTAGAAGTAACCCTAATTCCTTATTTAAATCACTCCGCATTAAAAGGCAACCAACCTCCTCGACACTGGCCCGGATGGCTCTCCTGTAAACTCCTCTGGCAGATCCTGCATCTCCAATATGCTATCTGTCATGGATAGCCTAACATAAGCCCATGATGATGGTTTGATTCCTCACGCAATCTTCATTGATTTTGCAAAAGCTTTCGACCGTGTCCCCCACGCTCCCTTACTCTATAAGCTCGAGTCATATGGCTTCAGTGGCAGACTCCTTGCCCTTCCTCGCGATTTCTAACGAACCGCACCTTCTCAGTTCGCGTAAGTTCATCGCTCGCATCTGAATCTTTCATTTCTACCGGAGTCCCGCAAGGTTTCGTCCTTGGCCCCTTCCTCCTCCTTTTATATATTAATGACCTGCCACACAGGATCAGAGTCAACGGAGATGGTGCGACAATTTGGAACACTGATCCGGTGACTGTTCAGTCAGCAATGGATGCAGTCAGACTGGTCTACTGCCTGGAACCTACCAATAAACGACCACAAATGCGTTAGTATGTCGTTTGGAAGGGTTTGGAAGGGCTAACGCTTCCACGACCATGCAGAGCGTAAAATACCACAAGGTCCTTGGTTTCTGGATGACAAAGTCACCTTCGTTCTCTTACCACCAACAAAAAGCCAGTAGATCCGTCATTCGTGTTCTTAACTTTCTAAAACGTTCTTTCCCCAGAATAGATAGAGATGACCTTCAGCTTCTATATAGCACGTACGTCTGACTATTACTGGAATATGGCAGTCAAATTGCTCACTCACGCCTGGTGTGCGATTGTACGGCCTTGGAGCGTGTACAACGGAGGGCGACAAAACTTTTGCATGGCTTGTCCTCCATCCCTTACGCTACACGCCTTTCCATCTTGGACTTGTACCCCTTTTAAACCTGCCGGATAAGAAATGACATCTTCCTATTGTACAATATCTTCAATTCCGGACAATCTTCGTAGGCATAGCATGAAGCTCTTCAAACCGCTTGTCCGTACACTAGTCCGTCAGTGCTTTTTCGCACACAGGGTCATTTCTCTTTGGAATAGCCTCCCCGAAGAAGTAGTCAATGCCCCGCAAGATCTGCTTTCAAAAAGAATCTAGACCTGCATCTTGTTCTAATCCCTGAACGGTAAACACCTCCCTGCCTCATAGCGTTATTCATATCATGTTCAGTGTTTTTTCCTGTACTAACCGATTTCTTGCACTGCATGCAGATAATGCACCCCTATCCCCACCTCTTACCTCATTATAGGTGACCTTCTTGTACAAACAGGAAGCGGACTCACTCTAACTACCTAACATCCAACCCCAGAAGAAACCTTGGAAACTACTAAGATCCGGAAACATTGGGCCTAAACTCGCACTCTTGTAATACTCCAGTGACTCGGATCTACGAGATCACGCCTGCCCTGGAGCAGCGCGGTACAGTTTCCGGACAT